TTCCAGTAGGCTTTCAGTTTCAGTTGAAGATGTTCATTTTAACCCACAAAGCCCTTTAGAACTATGTTTGCTCTCTATAATGGATCTGATCATTTCAATTTTGTTGGGAAAAGCAACTAGAGATTCCCCACTTTAAGGAGGTATCAGATAAGGCTTGGGGAAGCTGTTTTTCTGGAATAGTTCCAGCCTTTTGAACTGGCCTCTTTCTGGACCTCAGACTAGTTCTGATCTCAGTTTCCTTCCAGCAGCAGTTGAAAACAGAGTTATTCAAGAAGGCACTTGAAAAGGAAGCCTGTGTTTTGAAGTCTAGGCTTTGCTAAAGTTTTTACTAATTTTTCAGTGGACTGTGGTTTGTATACTTCTGTAAAACTGTCCAGTATTCTTTGGGATAGCTACAGGAAATAAATAAGCAAGCATTCTCCTAAAAATCTTCTATAAAGGCAGTAGTGGGATTCAGCCAGTTCGCACCAGTTCGGCAGAACCGGTAGCTAATTTTTTGTCGCCCAGGCTCAGAATGGACTTCCGGAAGTGGCATCCACACAGAGAAACGATTGTTCACAGATTTGAATCCCATCACTGTAGAAAGGGTGGCAGGTAACAGGCTTATTATGGTTCAGGTACTCCATGCTTAACAACCACAATTAGATACAGTAACTGTTGTGTTTACGGTTCGTTGGCAATTGACAAAGACCCATGGTGAAAACAACAAGCTCTTTATTTCTCTCTCCTACAACCAAGCAAACAGCAAAAGGCACGCAGGCCTTTTATAGTGCCTGAAACCCTGACAGTGTGAACCAATAAGATTTGACCATTTTTGCGCCTTGCGCATATGCACAAGGCTGGTGCCACTCTGTCTGGTCCCAGGCAGCTTTTGGATTGCCCGGGACCAATTGCAACAATTCTGAGCCTGCTTTCAGCTCTTGCAGGCTCAGGACACAACAGTAACTCTGTCACTATATAACACAGTCATTAAGTGAGACACCATGTGACCACAATTTGTGGTTTTATTGCCAGCTTTCTAAATTGATTTTGCTTGTCCAAAGCTGGCTGAAGAGCATGAAAATGTTGATCACTTTAGTACAGAATGTTGCAACAATTTTAAGTGTGAAGACCAGTCATAAAGTTAGTTCTTCAGCATCATTATAACTTTGAACAGTTGCTGTAGAGGGCAGCTATTAGCAATGGCATCGTTTAGCAACTGTTCAAAGTTATGACCATGATGAAAAAGTAATTTTATTATCAATCCTCACATTTACAATCTTTGGAGATCTGTAAAGCAAAGGAAAGCTAAAGTAAAATCATAAACACCATTATGGTCTCACTCAGTAACTGCTTTGCTAATGACTGAGTTGCCAATCCCAACTGTGTCTCTAAATGAGGACTACCTGTATCCATTTTTGAAAGAGGCCCATGTAATCTGCTCTCAAAATTCCAAATGTGCCTAGCAGCTCCCAAAGCTGCATTCTTGTGACCTAATCTCTAGGTTTTCTTTTATCTAACCTTGAAATGGAAGCTGGTTGCATGTCTAAATGCTCTGCCTTTTCCTTAGCTGAAAGTGTTTATTTTTACAAGCTATTTACATGGTGCATTCCAGGGGTTGGAGAGAGGTTTTTCTAGCTAGCAGGGGGGAAAATCATGCCATTGGTCCTGTTTGATAAAATATTAGCCAATTAATTCTGCCTTAATGTAGAATACTAAAGAAAAGCTAGATGTCAGGGCATGTTTCAAAAGAAAATATTGATCAGTTGTGCTCTTGTACTAATAATATAAATAAATAGATCGATAGCAACATTGATATACTATAATGTAATAAAAGTTGAGAGCTAGTTTGATTTAGTGGTTAAGGCATCAGGCTAGAAATTGGGTGACTGTGAGTTCTAGTTCTGCCTTAGGTGCATAATCAGCTGGGAGACCTTGGCTCAGTCACTTTTTCTCTGCCCTCACAAGGAGGTAATGGCAAGCTACCGCTGAAAAACCTTGCAAAGGAAACTGCAGGGACTTGTCCAGGCAGTTGCCAGGAGTAAACACTGATTCAAAGGCAGTGGTGGGATTCAGCCAGTTTGCACCAGTTTGGCAGAACCGGTAGCTAATTTTTTGTTGCCCAGGCCCAAAATGGACTTCCGGAAGCGAAGAGAACTGGTTGTTCACAGATTTGAATCCCACCACTGTTCAAAGGCATGTATCAATTCTACAAATGAGCATGGCTGTAGCCATTGTTCTCTTCATTCTCGGTTGCCACATTGATCAGAGGGAGGGGAGCTTGCCTAGGTGCTTCACAAGTCAAAATAATCTTCTGTCCCATGGGAACCAAGATCATCTGCTGCTCCCACAATCAGAGACTGGATGTTGTATAAAAAAGCCCACCAAATGAATATATTGGGGAACATAGTTGATTGCATAGTTTTGTGGATGGGACATTATAGATAGATAACCTTTATTGTCATTTTTTTACTGTGGGCACAATGGCACACATTAAAAATGAAATTTAGTTGCTTGCTCTCAAATTGTACACATACCTAACACACATTTAAGCATCCCATGTACAACATATATATAGACCTACACCCTTACATATAAGTAACATATAAATATTAATCACTGTCTATCTTGAATACATAACGGAAGGAGGAAGCTTTAGAGTTCACAAGGTTAATACTGTATGGAAAAAAAATATGACTGAATCTGGATGTTCTGCTTTGAATACCACGGAGCCTCCTCCCACAAGGTAACAAGGAAAACAGGTTGGGAAGAAGATGTGTAGTGTCCCAGACAATCTTGCACACCCTGCTCAAGCAATGCTTATATTCTATGTCCTGGAGGGAACTGTCAGTGATCTTTTCTGCCATCCTTACCACTCTCTGCACCGCCTTCCTGTCTGAAGCAGTGATGCTTCCAAACCAGACTGTGATGCTGTATGACGGGATACTCTCAATTGTCCCCCTGTAGAAAATGGTAAGGACAGGGGAAGGAAGATGTGCTTTTCTCATGCGACACAGAAAATGCAGGTTACTTTGTAAATGGGTAATTTTTAATTGGAAATTCAGACTTGGTTTCACTTTTGATCATGCCGATACTTTGTAACTAATAAACATGTTCTTTGAGGAATTTCTAAGTCTCAGAGTTCTGCTTTATTTGTCTCTGTCTGTCGGAACCATGACAGCATGCATACACACATACACATACACATGCACACATATAAAGGGTGACTATTAAGCCCAGGTTTTATTGGCTTCTGAAAAACCTTGCCAAGAAAATTGCAGGGACTTGTGTCGGTCTATAAGAGTCAGACATGACTGAAAGGAAAAAGAAGAAAGGCTGAATCAATTGTCTCTCATATTTTCGGGTTGTTCAAGTTGATGCAACTCATTTTGTTACCTCTTCACTAAAGAGTGCATAATATAATAACTGATTCTGTAAGTTTTCATGTTTTACAGGTATTCCAACTTACGACTGTAATTATAAGTCATTTCAGTTATATGTCAAGGCACCCATATGACTGGAAGTAATTTTTTGGCCTTTTTTTGCAGGGATCATTAAGTGAGCATCAGCATTGTTAAGAGAACATGGTAGTCATTAAGTAAATGCAATAGTTGTTAAGCAAACCTATTCATCTGAATGAATGTTTTTTACCGGATACCAGCAAAAAACATTGCAAATCAAAGTCATGTGAGCATCATGAGGGGTCATAAAGTTGATCTGCCCAACATGCAGTCATTCCACCATTTACAATGGCATTCTGCAGCTCTTGTAACTTCAAACAGTCATAAAATGACTAGTCATTAAGTGAGGACTCCCTGTTTAATTATGATTTAAATCTTTACATATTAACTAACCTCACAGTTTCAGTTCTGTATGTTATTTGGCTTAATGGTTGAAGTGAACTATACTTCTTGAGTAGATTTTGCCAGTAAATTACTATTATATTGTGAATTTGACATAAGGTAAATGATTAATACATCAGTAATCATACGATTTAAGTTATTTTTCTACATCTTTAATTAAACTAAATTTAAATTTAGTTTTTTCTTAGCCCTGTCCTTTTCCCATTACCACCCACTAGACAGAGTTTAGGTCAAAGTGTTCCTTGCAAATGTCAGATGTTCCTGTAGCCAAAACAGACTATCCATCTCTGCTTTCATGGATATGACTATATCTGTTTGTCTGTGTATCTAATTTCTCTGTCAAAATGGAGCGGGTGACAGGAAAACAATTTGATAAAGTAGAGGTATTTCTGAATAAAATAATAAGAAATAGCATTAGGGTCAAATTGCCTCTTTAAAATGTTATAAATCATAATTTAGGGTTAGGGATCCACTTGCATCAGCAGAAGCAAAAGGAACTTGATGAGTATACCATATGTTATGTGAGGTGTTGGATTAAAACAAATAATTGGGATCCTTTTTCTATCAAAACAGATTGTGATGTGTTGGCAGAAGGAATTGAACCTGACATATATCATGTTTGGATAGTTTAGGAGGTTGATCTGCCAAACTTGTATATAACCTTTGAGGATTGCATTACCCTTCGAATGGAGTAAAGGTTTCACTGTTTCATGTGTCTAGAGACATTCACTGCTGTCTCACCGAAGCCTATCCACCAATCCGAAATTAGGTTATGAACACCTCTGCCTTTACTCATGTGCAATATAGTTGCAGATGCCCATATTTTTCCCCCACATTTTTTTTTTTTGCTCATTTATCTCAAGGAACATACGCTCATACACACACATTGGCCTCAAGTACACACAATGTTTTCTTCCTATTGGTTCCTCTTTCAAATTTAGAGGAGCTAAAACTGCTTTCCACCTGAGATGTTTCACTTGCCAATCATATAGGCCTATCGTAGAGCTTGCTGAGCTGCTGCAAAGCATTAATTTCTGGCTTTTGGCAACTTGCCCTTACGCAAGAGAACATGTGGCTGTGTTCTTAGATCTGTGTGCTGAGAAAAGGGTGCCGGGCTTGTAAATAATGAGTTGTCTGCTTCACTCCCAGTGGATCACAGTGAAAATTTACCTTGGCCTGCTGGTTTTTTGTTTACCACTTCTGACATTGGAATACTTTGGACCTGAGGGAAATATCCTATTACCTTGTCACAAAGGAAGGGATTGTGAGCGTGATGCAATGGATGTGTTTGCTTGGTTGCAGAGAGACTGGAAAACAAAAGGTTCAATTTTTATTTTTTTTTAAGAAAAAAAAATCTGGGATATCATGTAAGAATCCTTGTTCAGGAGGATGGCTTAGTTTTTAAGTAGGAATCAGCAGAGATAGTGCAGCATATTCCTTAGAAGGGGAAATATGCAGCTGATGAATCCGGGTGAATCAAGTGGGGTTTGTCTCCATCTTTGAAATCAACTACATTCAAATATTTATAAATATATAGCTGGCTGTTGCCTACTATATTATATTGTAGCAGAGGTGATGGTAGTAGGGGTAGGTTTTTAACTCTTTGTGTGCCACCTAGTGTCACTTTGAGAGATGGGCAGCTATATACATTGTTTAAATAAATATTTTTTGATTGGAAATGGTCTCCACTGGAGATTGAAACCAAGATCTTTACTGTGAGGAACATGTTCTCTAGTATAGTCCCATGCAGATCAGAAAACTACGGGTGAAGGGCTCAGGCAGGACTAGAATTCACCGTCTCCTGGTTTTTATCCTGGTACTTTCATCAGTGGGCTGAAATGGCTCTTTTACATTTAAAATGTGGGGAAATAGTATTTGTCAATTAATGTAACTTTTATTATGATTTTTAAGATTGCAAAGTAATGCAGGATTATAACCATATAGGTTTACCAATGCCTATAAACGAAGGTGACTTTGATTGATTGTAAATCAATTCATATAGTTCCGTTGCCTGGGATTGAAAGAGAGAGAAAGATATGTGCTTTGCAACTCTACAGGGGAAAAAAAAGGGAGGAAAAAAGTGAACAGAAAAAAAGAAGCAAGGAATTGGGGCTTGGAATTCTTAAATGGTTGATAAATTAGAATAAATATAATTTCTTAATAGGTGGTGTTAACATTGCCTTGGCTGATGAATATTGCTCTGAAATTAATTTTAAGGTATTTATTTTGTTGACCTGATCAGATGGTTTAAAAACAACTATGTGAATCTTTTTTGTTTGGTCTAATTTTCATTTCATTAGGTCATTGCTCCTTGCAATGTTTTCATCATCTGACTTTGGAGTATTGCATATGCTTGAAACTAGTGGGCTGGATTTGGATTTATTGAATTTAGTAAAACAAATAAAAGGTTTTTTCTTGATTTCAATAAGATAAATATATATATCTAATAAATATATGAATCTCACTAATTGGTTGATAAATTATTTTCCAGATGAGATGACTTTAAAATTATACTCACTGAAAAACTGGATTTTTCCCCACTTTTCTATCATGCCGCAAATACTAATCTAAAAAAGATAAAATGTATCTCTAATAAATATATGAATCTCAGTGATTAGTTGATAAATTATTTTCCAGATTTTGTTTGTGCACGTTCAGTTCTATTATATGAAACTTTAAAAAAATATTTTCAGCATTTAGTGTTCAGTTTGAGTTCCATGCCCAAATGGCATATCTAACTTTTTTTTCTCTTCCATTCAATTATGCCTGATTTCCTCTGCAATTTGTAATATTTTTTTAAAAAAAATATTATTTTGGAAACTTCTTTTTCAGCACAACCTTTTTCAGAGGTAACCTCCTCTGAAGACTGACTTGGAGTGCTGTAATATATATTACATTGAGTCATCTGATCCCTCTTAATATCATATTACTATGAAGATGCAGAGAGAAAACAAGAAACGTGAGATGATTTTAAAATTATACTCACTGAAAAACTGAGCTTTTCCCCACTTTCCTATCATGCCGCAAATACTGATCTAAAAGAGATAAAATTTCAGTATTTATGCTTGGAGAAATGCAGTTTCTCAATTGATTCAAAGATTTGTTGCTGAACGTTTCCTACTAAGCAGTTAGGTAATGAAGAACAGTGTCAGGATTTGCTGTTCTGGGTGCCATTAAGTTCTTTTGCATGATTCCCTAGACGCTAGAAGCTAAAACTGCTGATATAGGCCATCTAATATAAAGCAGACTTTTCAAGAAGGGCAGGTTAAGTAATGCATATTGTAGTGAAGTAATGCTTCAGTTACAGTGCCTTCTGATCTTATTCCTCATGTGGTACATTGCTCAAAAATGTAGAGCCAACAACAGCAGAGTATGGAAGGCAAATTGGCAGCGGAGTGATCAAATAAATGTGTGTATAATGCAATACAAATGTTGCATTTCCCTTAACAAAAGGACTGTGTTTGGCATTTAATGGATCAAAGCTGAATGTAGGAAAACAAATAAGAAAAACGTAAAGGCTTTTATTTAAAAGCAAAGCTGAGAGAGTGGAAAGTGTGTCACTGCAAGAAGAGATGATAAACACGCATGGTTTGCTTCATGTCACTTGCTGTATCATAAAGTAAATATGAGTCTCTCTCTCTCTCTCTCTCTCTCTCTCTCTCTCTCTCTCTCTCTCTCTCTCTCTCTCTCTCTCTCTCTCTGTATGTGAGTGTGAGTGTGTGTTTGTGGTAGGGAAAGGATACCGAAAATCCTAGCCATCTTACTTGGTCTCATATTTCTTCCCTCTGTCCTCAACTTTCTTTTTTTCCTAGATATTTTTGGTGTTTGACTCAGCATGTTACCCAGACTGGGATTTAGGACTGCCTTGGATCTGCTTAAATTTGACTTGGCATAATTATACATTTTTGACCTTGGCTTTTCCAGAATAGAGCCTATTTTGTTGGTGACCATGAGTACAGGCCTCCCTCAGCAATTACAACAGTGGCCTCACCTCCTCTGGCTTCTGTCTGAGACAAACTTTCCTTGTACTGCATTTTTCAGCTTCAGGGGCTGGAGAGGATTCCCAGCTCCGGTTTGATAGTTGAAACAAGAAAGCCCATTTGGTCATTAGGACTTTAGCAAAGTCTGCATAGGAGAAAGGAGAGCAGGAGGAGAAAGGTTATTAGTGTTGCACTTGGCACGAGGAAAGCAGAAAGCCATCATAGAAAGCCAGTTATAATCAGGGAGAGCCTCCATGGGCTGTGGATCATTTCATACAGATACTATCTCCATGTAACGATGCTATGAACAACAGCATGATGTCTATGTGCAATCTCTCTGATCCTGAAAGGTGAAATGAGTCCCTTTCTATTAGCGGTGGCCAACATGAGCAAGCATGCCATGCTAGCAATATTATCATTTTTCTAATAAGAATCTCTGTTCTTATTGAAAACAGTATCCAGTTTGGTTCTTCCTCCACTGGAGAAGAAAAATAATGAATAACAACGTTCCAATGCCGGCCACATTTCTGGCTCTATTCCTGCCTTGCACGATCAATTCTTCCCACTTACAGAATGAAAATATCTGGAGACTATTTCAAAAATAAGATAGGGGTAGGTTAGGTTAGGGTAGGATAGGATAGGATAGAATAGGATGAGATAAATATCTTATGATTTATGATGAATATATTTTATGATTAAGATCATAATTTATTACTTGTTGCTTGTATGTACAGCTTATGCATCAGAGAGAGATTCCTTGTGTGTTCAATCACACTTGGCCAATAAAGAATTCAAACTTCATAGTAGGCTATTTTGCTATTATCCTTGTCATTTTCTCATCTTTTTCAACTTCTCGTCTTTCTCACTTTCTCATCTTTCCTACTACCTTCTCCTATTGGTATCTTATAATTTATCACTTGTTTGTTTGTATCTTATGATTTATATATATGTAGGTCTTTGGTTATTCGGGTTTTCTCCCGCATCAAATTGGAAGTGTCTTGGCAACGTTTCGACGAAGTCTCATTCGTCATCTTCAGGCTGGTGCTTTCGGCTTCGTGCTTCTAGGAGCAATGTGTGATCGTGGCTGTTTCTTCCTTTTAACTGCCAGTGGGGCTATGAACTGATTGGATGAGAGTTTGGCTGTGTTCTGATTGGATGGAGGTGTGTTCTGATTTGTTGGGAGCTTGGCTGTGCTCTGATTGGATGGGGGGTTGGCTGTGCTCTGATTGATTGGGGGAGTGGTCTGTTTGGGTGGGGGCTTTGTTGTGCTCAGGTAAATCTGAGCACAACAAAGATTTACCTGAGCACTTAGTCCCACCCAGTCTGCCGTTACCACCACAGCCAGGCCCACCCAATTGGCCACACCCACCCATCACCCAATGATGCATAAGTGGGTTTTGGGTTGCAGTTTGGGCACTCGGTCTCTAAAAGGTTCGCCATCACTAACATAGGTGGTATCAAGCCCTTCAGGGCTTGCCATTCACCCGTGGGAGTATTGCATGAACATCTCTACCGCGGGGTTCTCGTCTGTTTGGATGATATTCTGATCTACACCACCACCCTGGAGAAGCACGTCCATCTAGTGCAACAGGTGCTACAGAAACTACCTGGGGGTTTTACATGCTCTAGGCGGCTGCTGGTTTGCTGCTGGGGGTGGGTCTGTAGGGCGGGGCACAGCTATGTAAAGCACTGGAGCAAACCACTCCCAGTGCTGACTTTTCGTTTGCTGGGATTAAACCTTGTACCCACGTGCCTGGACTTTGTTTCATTGGATGACGATGGACGGAGATGATAGGTGGTCATGCTCAGAGCATTGAGGACTTTGTATACATTCTCAGGACCAATAGCCTCAAATTCCTCTCAATTAAACAAATCAGACTATTCCTCAGTCAGCTCCATGCAACCAATTCAGAGCACATCTAAGCAATTTTATTTGGCAGATTTCTCAAATAGTCCTCATAGCAGCCTTATAGACTACTTTCCTACTTAGGAGTGACCAGGTCACCCTGAGGAAGACTGCCAAACTTCAGACAATATAACAGTGGAAAAATAATGATGTTTTGCTGCTTTTATTGCCCTGAGGTGAATCCTTAAGAAAGACTGTGTCTCCCCAGGTCAGCTCTTTGTCTTCCTCCTCTGGTGCTCCAGGATCTCTTCTGCCATTTCATATCATGGAGTTTTTCTGAAAACTGAGGTGTTGGTGGAGCATATCTCTTTATCCACACCGAGGGAAAGACTGCATGTGTGAAATCTGATCTTCTTCAGGACCAGGAGATGTTTGTTCAGTCAAATACTGCTTGGCAGAAGGGCTAAAGTGACTGGGATAAGACCATTTCTTGTT